TAGTGATGTCACTGTGCATAAGATAGGGGGCTAGACCGACTTTAACACCAACGCTAGTGATGCCACTGTGCATAAGATAGGGGGCTAGACCGACTTTAACACCAACGCTAGTGATGCCACTGTGCATAAGATAGGGGACTAGACCGACTTTAACACCAACGCTAGTGATGTCACTGTGCATAAGATAGGGGGCTAGACCGACTTTAACACCAACGCTAGTGATGCCACTGTGCATAAGATAGGGGACTAGACCGACTGTAACACCAACGCTAGTGATGTCACTGTGCATAAGATAGGGGGCTAGACCGACTTTAACACCAACGCTAGTGATGCCACTGTGCATAAGATAGGGGGCTAGACCGACTTTAACACCACCGCTAGTGATGCCACTGTGCATAAGATAGGGGGCTAGACCGACTTTAACACCAACGCTAGTGATGCCACTGTGCATAAGATAGGGGACTAGACCGACTGTAACACCAACGCTAGTGATGCCACTGTGCATAAGATAGGGGACTAGACCGACTGTTACACCAACGCTAGTGATGCCACTGTGCATAAAATAGGGGACTAGACCGACTGTTACACCAACGCTAGTGATGCCACTGTGCATAAGATAGGGGACTAGACCGACTGTTACACCAACGCTAGTGATGTCACTGTGCATAAGATAAGGGACTAGACCGACTGTTACACCAACGCTAGTGATGTCACTGTGCATAAGATAAGGGACTAGACCGACTGTTACACCAACGCTAGTGATGTCACTGTGCATAAGATAGGGGACTAGACCGACTGTTACACCAACGCTAGTGATGTCACTGTGCATAAGATAGGGGACTAGACCGACTGTAACACCAACGCTAGTGATGTCACTGTGCATAAGATAGGGGGACTAGACCGACTGTTACACCAACGCTAGTGATGTCACTGTGCATAAGATAGGGGACTAGACCGACTGTTACACCAACGCTAGTGATGTCACTGTGCATAAGATACGGGACTAGACCGACTTTAACACCAACGCTAGTGATGTCACTGTGCATAAGATAAGGGACTAGACCGACTTTAACACCAACGCTAGTGATGTCACTGTGCATAAGATAGGGGGACTAGACCGACTGTTACACCAACGCTAGTGATGTCACTGTGCATAAGATAGGGGGACTAGACCGACTGTTACACCAACGCTAGTGATGTCACTGTGCATAAGATAGGGGACTAGACCGACTTTAACACCAACGCTAGTGATGTCACTGTGCATAATATAAGGGACTAGACCGACTTTAACACCAACGCTAGTGATGTCACTGTGCATAAGATAGGGGGGCTAGACCGACTGTTACACCAACGCTAGTGATGTCACTGTGCATAAGATAGGGGCTAGACCGACTGTTACACCAACGCTAGTGATGTCACTGCATAAGATAGGGGACTAGACCGACTGTTACACCAACGCTAGTGATGTCACTGTGCATAAGATAGGGGACTAGAACGACTGTTACACCAACGCTAGTGATGTCACTGTGCATAAGATAGGGGGACTAGACCGACTGTTACACCAACGCTAGTGATGTCACTGTGCATAAGATAGGGGACTAGACCGACTGTTACACCAACGCTAGTGATGTCACTGTGCATAAGATAGGGGACTAGACCGACTGTTACACCAACGCTAGTGATGTCACTGTGCATAAGATAGGGGACTAGACCGACTTTAACACCAACGCTAGTGATGTCACTGTGCATAAGATAGGGGGACTAGACCGACTGTTACACCAACGCTAGTGATGTCACTGTGCATAAGATAGGGGACTAGACCGACTGTTACACCAACGCTAGTGATGTCACTGTGCATAAGATAGGGGACTAGACCGACTGTTACACCAACGCTAGTGATGTCACTGTGCATAAGATAGTGGACTAGACCGACTGTTACACCAACGCTAGTGATGTCACTGTGCATAAGATAGGGGACTAGACCGACTTTAACACCAACGCTAGTGATGACACTGTGCATAAGATAGGGGGACTAGACCGACTGTTACACCAACGCTAGTGATGTCACTGTGCATAAGATAGGGGACTAGACCGACTGTTACACCAACGCTAGTGATGCCACTGTGCATAAGATACGGGACTAGACCGACTTTAACACCAACGCTAGTGATGTCACTGTGCATAAGATAGGGGACTAGACCGACTTTAACACCAACGCTAGTGATGTCACTGTGCATAAGATAGGGGGACTAGACCGACTGTTACACCAACGCTAGTGATGTCACTGTGCATAAGATA